GCAAAACCCTGTCACAAACAATTTTGTAGAGATAAACAGTCATTATCAAACTGTACTGGACAGCATCTATAACACAAGATGTGCTTTATTTAAAACCGCTTTGTCCGCAGGTTTCAGCAGTGTATGGTTGACATGGTTGGTAATGGAAAACTCACCTGCTGTTAATAATTCTGGAAAAGTGGCTCATTGTGGAATGGTGTCTGTAGTTAGTTACTCACATGAATGCAAATGAAAGAGTACCTTTGTATGGTTTTTATACTATCTGTATGGTATTTCATTCTTTTGTATTTTCAGTTAATATCACTAACTGAAGCATGGAAGCTTGACTATCTATTACTCTCTAATAGTCCAATAAATCAGAAGATTGAGATTAACAAGAGCTGAATCAATGTTAGAAAATGGACTAAAACTCATTGTGAACAGGACAGATTAGTTGTAATGGAGAAGCAAGCACACAACCCACAACACTGTTTGTTAGAAAAGGTAAGCCTAACATTATTATAATTAGAAAGGATATTGTGTCTGTTTTTTATCCAAGATATGAGTGATAATCACAATTATGAGATAATCAGAGACACATCCAGTTGGGGACATTTGTAAAGACAGAAACTGAACAAGGACATAAAATACAAAGATACTTTTCATATTTAAAAATATATATAAACACCAATCAAACATTTGTGAGAACATTTTAACATCATTTAACACTGATTAGAAACATTATTTCTGTTAGTATTAGAAAAGGACCACTGTCCATAGTTTAACAGAGAGGTTGAGTAATTATGATAAAAGAAAATCACAGAAATAGAAATTAACAGAAAAGTTTATATTGGGGCTACGAGAGAATTCCTGATATTCAAGAATAATTGAGTTGTATAATAGTGGAATCAACAAAAAGCTTCTGTTACCAGGAAGAAACTTATTTTCATATTTATTTTCCTTTTTATCAACTTGCAGGAGAGACACTTCTACCCCAAACAAAAACTGATATGAGAATTACTGTATGTCAAAACCAGCAATACATTAAACAAAAAATAATCTAAAATCAGTTACAAGCAATTTCCTTCATATATAATAATATAGCCTTAATAGGATCCAAATAATATCAGAGGTTTTACTTATCCATTTGCAAATTGTACATTCTCTTGCAGTTGGATTTCTGAGAAAGATATGATGACATTGTAAACTACTATAAATTTACTTACTGGGGAAACGGGTGATATTAATGTTTGTATCATTTTACCCTATACTATTGCAAGATAAATTATTAGGTTGAAATTAACTCATTTATACACTTTGTCCCCGTTATAAGATAAAAAAGTCAATTTCTCTTCTCTACGTTCAAAAGAGAGGACAGGAGCCCATAGCTAGAGTCAAATTTTCTTTTAATTACTGAAGACTATTGATAATTAATGCTATAAAGGACATGCTAAAGTATTAGCATTTAAGGGCAATCTACTAATCTTATGAACATAGCTAATTGTATCTTTATGTCTTAAGTTAGTGTGTTTATCCAAAGAGAATTACACAAAATAAATAAAAATAAGAATGGAACAGGTACTGCATATACAGTTGCAAGAAAAAGTTTGTGAACCCTTTGGAATTACCTGGATTTCAGCATTACTCATGCAAATGTGGTCTGATCTTCAACCAAGTCACAATAATAAACAAACACAATCCACTTAAACTAATAACACACAAACTATTGTACTTCTTCTTGCTAATATTGAACACATCATTTAAACATTCACAGTCCAGGCTAGAAAAAGTATGTGAACCCTTGTATTTAGTAACTGGTAGAACCTCCTTTAGCAGCAATAACCTCTACCAAACATTTCCTGTAGCTGCTCGTGAGACTTGCACAACGGCTAGGAGCAGTGGTTTCCTCCTTCCATTAACACCATTCTTGTTCAGTGTTTTTCTTATAGTGGACACATGAACAGAGACTTTGGCAAGTTCAAGAGATTTCTGCAGGTCCTTTGCTGTTACCCTAAGGTTCTTTGTCACCTCCTTTAGCATTGCACGCTGCACTCTTGCCATGATCTTTGCAGGAAGCCCACTCATAGGGAGAGGAGCAACAGTACTGAATTTCCTCCATTTGTAGACAATTTGTCTTACTGTGGATTGATGAACACCCAAGCCTTTAAAAATATTTTTTCAGCCTTTTCCAGCTTTATGCATCTCTACAATTCTTCATCTAAGGTCCTCTGACATTTCTTTTGAGCAGCGAATGGTTCATATGAACAGCTCTTTCTTGAGAAGAGCAGACTCTGTCAGTAACCAACCTTTGTGTGCCTTTTTATAGGGCAGGGCATCTCCAAGCTCATCTCATTGATTGGAACACCTGACTCCAATTACCTTTTGGAGAAGTCATTAGACTAGAGGTTCACAAAGTTTTTCTAACCTAGACTGTGAATGTTTAAACAATGTGTTCAGTACTGACAAGAGGAAGTAAAATTGTATGTTATTAGTTTAAGCAGATTGTGTATATCTATTATTGTGATTTAGTTGAAGATCAGACCACATTTATATGAGTAATTAATGCATAAATCCAGGTAATTCCAAAGGGTTCAAAAACTTTTTCTTGCAACTGTATATAAGAAGGGCTAGTAATAAATATATGAAATATGGAGTATGGACTGAAAGAGATGCACAGGACAGAGCAGAAATCACAAGTATTTTCCTAGATTGAAACAAAACTGCTCGGGGAAACAATTATATTCTTGATTAAGTGACGCTTGGTGGCTGCGCTTTGCCAAATGAACTGTCTGGAGCAGAAACACTTCAGACTAATGGATCTTATGAGGAGTTTGTAAACTAATCAACTCTGCAGAATACAATGTATAATAATGCCAGTGAAAAAAGCATGTAGTATGGGCAAAATACAGCGTTGATGTTATAGCTGTAGTGCCTTTTTAATCTACTGTATGCATTATTCATTCCTGGTCATTTTGAGCTAAAACATGTGAAAGAAAATAGGTCAGCAGTTATAGTATTTAAGCTTAGTGGAGTTTAGCTACAAGGCATAGGCTGGCAGCAGAAGGGAGAGGTACTGCAGAGAAGATGGATCCTGAAAAGGCATACATTTACATTCAGAGGGTGTACTGAACAGAGTAAGCACTTGTTTGCCCAAGTGTGTATATAGTAATTATTTTTGAAAGTACCACCTTGTTCAGTGATAAATTAAAGAACAAATGATACATTTCAAATTCCAAGAAAAATTGAAATGAAGGACTGACCTCAAATTGTATTCCCATGTACAGAGACCAAAACTGTTCTACAAATCTACAATTTGTTAAATAAAAGAAAACACTGATACTCTACATTATGTATTACACTACTGTATAGCAGTTAAGAAATTATTAATTACAATTTGTCAAAACATAAAGTAAAGTATTATATAAGTGCAAAATTAATCTCATAATCTTTTCTATTACAAAATAAAACTATACTGAAGTACATTCTGTGCCTGATGCACCCTTTTGAAAAATAAAGCATACACTAGTAGCTGGACATTGTATATACTGTAAACATAAAAACGATCTACTAGGCTTTCTATCATTTTCTTTTTCCAAAGTATCAGTAAATGGGATTAAGAGGATCAGATTATTGGTATGCTGATAACTCTGTGAGCCTTTCATTTGTATTTGTTACCCCCCCCCTTCAGAAATTATATTTCTATCAGCAATTTATCTTCACTGTCATGGAAGTCAAAACGGCTGATTTTACAGACTGCTTCCATTATTAAGAAGCTGGAGAGTATAAATCTTTCCAACTACTGGAGCAGGGGAAGTAACAGCAGGTGCAACTTGTAAAATCCAACATGGCAGTGAAAATGCATATTTTTTTTTAAGGTAAGTAGGAACTGAAAAGTTCAGATATCAACATTCAGCAATGGATCCCAAAATGAACAACACAAATAGAAAAATGTACTGAATGCTCACAGTGAAGCTGTTTGTAATGCAAGGTTGCAAAGTTGGTGTACAGTATCTTTCTCTTCCAACAGTTGCTCAAGGCAGTGGTAGAACCCAACGACTGGAAAATTCCCAATATAGAATGGTGGCAAAACTGACACGTAATTACAACAGAGATTAATACACACAGTGCATACGATATGGTGTGTTTCAAAAATAAATTCTCAAATGAGAGGTAACAGGCATAGGGGAAAATGCTTGCATTTAGATTTAAAAAAAAGTGGTTAATACATAGACAAGCTCAATTAATGATGTAATTAATGGAGTACGACATGGACCTGTTCTGTCACTGCTGCTCTTCTTGAATTATATCAATAGTGTAGACTGGATTCTTGCAGATGTATTTCTCCCTTCTCTTGTACATTTTCAAAAAATAAAAGCATAAACAAAACTGGTCTTTGCTTATTCCAGGACTTTCAATTACTTCCCGTCTTTTCCATTATATAGTGTGTGCCTAAGATGTCTCCTGGAAAACAATGTTTATAGGACCCTTGGTGAAACAGTCATATTGTATTGTAGCTTTCTTTAAGTACCTTGTGCATATTTGTCCATGGGGCAGTATAGGCATCTTGTTAGACATTTTGGAAGTGTCTAGATCAAGTTATAGCTTGTAAACAGGTTGCTTCTGTTATACTGTGGATATTCCATGCTATAGTACTCTTGCTAAATGATAACTGTGATCTTCACCTCTTGCTGGAGCATGAAAAGATCTGGATGGCTAGTCTGACAGCACTTAAAAAAAGGTTTCAGCTGCATTGGAAGACTCTACATGACCTCTCCTGGGATCAGTTGACTTTCTTCATATTAATTATATGGAGCATTCAACTGCTTAGATTCATTGTGCCAGTGACGGAGCAACAGGAGCTTGGGATGCTGTTACACTTTACTGCTATCAAGGCTGATTGATTTTAGGGGTCCTTGATAGGGAAGAAGGAATGGGGTCTTGGATGGGAGGGAAACTTAAAATTAAGGAAAAATTACACAATTTAAAAATCATGCAATGTTTAAGAATAAACATTCTTTAATTAAAGAAAATATCAGTTGTTAATGAAAGTGAAGAACATTTTGTACCAAACAGCTGAATTTTCTAAATAGACAATTTTCTTTCATAATGCGCAATTTACATTTCCGTCAAGAAGGGGTATTTACATAATCCTCTCCACATTTTTACATACAAAAGTGCTATAACAGTCATGAAAATTAATCACAAATGGCTTACAAAGTGTTTAAAAAGTTATTCAAAAAGTGACAGAGAAACATTCTTCAATTAAGAGTGTAAAGGGTTTTGCATAATATACTTAATGGTTTCTACTACTGAAGTTCCAGGTCCCTGTGCCTCAAATCCTGAAGTGCTCAGTTATTCAGCACCATCTTGTGGTTAAGTTTAATTTCTATGATTAAACTTTTGAAATCGCAGCTAAGACTGACCCAGCTAGAACAGTGCAGAAAGCCAAAACCAGTATCATGTAGTTGTGTAATCCCTGTGGAGTAAAACAAGAAAAAATACATCTGAAATATAAATGTGACATAAAAGATCTATATAGTATAAATATAGGCATATATTTATACCAAAGACACATTAACAAGGCAATTTCACAGACTTGTGCTGACAGGTCAAATACTTCTTTTTCATTCTAAATCCTTTACAGTTACAGTAAACTGAGCAAAAAGACAACTGAATGAGCTTAATGGGCCAAATGGACTCAACATTCTAAAACTTTTTGTGTGCTCCTTCTGATGCTCTTCAGTCAGTGTCAAGCATCCAGAATAAAGATTTACAAGCTGAATCCCTTTCCACACTTTCAGACTTGTTCTGTGTTGCAGGTATGATTCACTGTAGAACACTTAAGGATGTTGAATTTGTTACTTTAATTAAATTAAATACATGACCATCAACGTAAAATATAAGAGCTACAAAATCAAGTAAAAACAGCTACAGCTCAAATGAAAGCATATTTTATATCAAATTAGAGAGCTGCAGGCAGAGAGAAAGAATTAAACAGATCCCTTACATACTGTACCGTATGCATACAAACATTGGCAATCTACAAAACTATATAATTATTTAATATATTAAACTATATAATACTTTAAACTGTATATAGTTCTGTGTTTACGCTTAATTTTGAATCTAAGAAAAAAGGCTGCTCTGTCAGAGCCTCTTATCTAATATAACTCAACTTTCAGACCACCCTTAATTTCTTAAGAATCTTCTGTAAAGGAGTAACAACATGCATTAACAGGTCTTAAACTGCTTGAGACTCGTATTTTTCAAGGCTGAAAAATGCTTAAGCAATTTAAGTCACAAAATAACTTTTTTCAGGAAGAAAAATGATTTATCTTATTTAATTGTAAGAAAAGTGTCCTTAAAACAAATTAAATGACCATTCATATCTACTGTATCTTTACAAATATATCAGCCTTCTTTCTGAGCATAGAAGTCTGAAATTTGCAAGTACATGCAGTTTAATGAGAGTGCACTTTACAGTTGTGTAACACAATTATGATTTAGTGTCTCTATGCAGGAGCAGGAGTGAATAATTCAAAAATTTGAAGACCCTGCATATTTAATGTGATAATCATTGACTTCAATTAGGCTTCACTGAAATCACCTTCTCCAGCTAGCAGCAATCTTGCCAGCTCCGTAAAGAAGGCGGGAATTGAATTGTCTGATTCATAATATTAGTACGGACAAAAAGTAGCAAGAATCAAGCATCAGTCTGTAGTAAAAAATATTGAACTATAAAACGTCAAAAGAAGCTAAACCAGTGATAACATGAAATATGATTAACAAGGATACAGTTTTCTATTTACAGGTAAGGATTATTAGAAATGTCATACACATTTCATTACTGGTTTAATTTGGTTTATCATTTTATGGTTGAACTGCAATTCAAAGTACTTACTTTAACTTCTCTAAAAACAAACACTCCCCAAATAGCAGCAATTAATCCAGGACCCTGGAAGATAATACAAACAGATTGCATACAAAAAGCTTTTAGCTATGTGCATCCTTACATTGCTGAACTATTTTATTTTTAAGACATTGTGTATTTTTAAAGCTCAGTGACAACATTAACCTGTAATTTCAATAACATTAAAAGCAACATTTTGAATAGGCAGTTACATGAAAGTATATTCTAATTAGAATAATCTTTGTAGTTTTAAAACAGGGTTATTTCTTTTCATATTCAGACATGATAAATCCTAATGAATTATTAATACCGTATCATATTTAATGATTACAAATGATAGAACATGAACATCCAAACATCTTGTATTATTATATGCATTAATAATATTATGCTGTACAATTTAAGAAAATATGTAAACTGCAAAACCGATACACCGACAAATTCAACTCTTAAGATAATTAATCTGAGTAATAAAAAAAACTTAGGACTTATTGTACGTTTCATACAATAACTGTTTGCAGTTGGAGTATACAACCAAAGTACAATAAGAAAACACTAATTATCAATAATCTATACCACATTACATGAATCTGAACTTGCTTCCAGATAAATGAGAATACATACCGTACTGCATGAAGACTAAGCATTTTTACTTCTTTACATTATTAATTACATTTACTAAAGTAAAAATACCTGATGATCTTCATTATAAACACCATAATAAAAAAACACAAACTGAGTACACCAGTTTAACTTACTGCAGTGATTATGGGAAAGCTGACAACTGCACTGAGGTAGTTATTTGCCAGGAACCAGCAGCAGTTTGCAATTGCCCACATGACACCTGATGCAAAACCTAATGAAGAAAGATATAGACAATTAGCCAAGTTCCTTCTGTCGGTTCCCATCTGAAGCTCTGAGGTTTTTGGGCTCAATCCTACAAATCCTGAGATGGCAGTAACAAATCCTTCTGCTAGCCTGCCCGCATTGGTATGTAAATTCACCATTCTTAAAGCACTGACGTCAATAATCATGTCATCAGGCTTCAAAGGCCTAACATCCACACTTTCATCTAAGCAGTACATTTTTCAGTATTACATTTAGGACTTCAGAATGCTAAATATGCCACAAATACAAATGCTTTGTACTTTATTGCTCAGTGACCCAGAATGTCACTCAGAAATTTGCTCTGGTGTTGTAAGCAACCATCCAAGTACTACACTATTGTTACTGTATGTGCAATGAACTATCAAGAGATTAACTTTACCTACATACAGTACAATAATACATGTATCTAATACATTGGCCCCACAATAAAGAATTCATAAAACTCCACACCTTGATAATATTTTTGTGCCTTAATATTCTATTTATATCACTATAAGAAAAGTTATCAATTACTATACCTAATGCTCAAATTTACTATTACAAAAACAAAAAGATGTAGAGACTGGGTTTCAATAACACTTTTTGTAAGTGATACTTTGTGTCCAAAAAGCACTAAAAAAAAGTTTTATGTTTTAAGTACTGAAAACACTAAATGCATCCATCTTCTAACTGCTTCATCCAATTCAGGGTTGTGGGGGAGTCAGAGACTATCCTGGCAAGCAACAGGCACCAAGCAGAATGCACCCTGGACAGGCCAACAGTGCATCATAGGGCAAACAAAGGCACAGGCAGACACACTCCAGGGCTAATTTTACAGTCCAGAATTAACCCAGGGCCCCAGCAGCGCAAGGCAGTAATGTCAACCACTGTGCCACTCTGAAAATACTAAATGAAATACAAATTGTATTTTTGGAAATGTAAAAATGAGGTTCACAAACATCCTAAAGTCAACATGCATTTTTAACCATAGTTTATGATCTCACTACATTTGGACAGAGATATTGATGCATCATCAGGGGCAGAAGTGACAATGATAAATCTGAAACCCTGTCCACCTATAAATATATGTTCCAAATAACACTTAGGGAGAGAGATTTTGGGACATGTAAACCAATAGGACCCAGGGAACAAAAAATGTATTTGGCAAGACAACTAGAAATAGGCAGCAGTAAAGAGGCTTTGTAGTCTCTGTAGAGTTTTCCAAGTTAATTGGAAACATTCTCACCTGGCAGTATTACTTTAGAATAAACCTTAGGTTTGTTCTTCATTGCTGCACAGTAAATCAAAAAATATACTGTACTAGTGAGAAAGATTCCACTGAACTGTGCAAAAACATAATCAAGATCTGCAAAAATGGGGAAAAGACAAAAACATAAATTAGCACAGAATGCTAATCACTGAAATAAATGTAAAATATAATAAGATAATACATGTTATACATCAAAATATTTGTATGTTGGTAAATTATTTTCTGCTTCATTACTTTATTTGAAACTAACCAAAATTGGGTGAAAACATTAGGTCTGCTGTTTAAAAATTATTCTTCTTATCACACACTTAAAAAACAACAACATTCAGAATACATAACTAACTCTGGCTCATATTACTTTATTTTGGATCTATGCATCTATACAGTATATATTGAATGTGGAAATGAGAAGTGGGGTTATTCAAAAGAAATAATGTTATTCTGAAAAAAACAAAACATACATACTGTAGGCTTACCAAATTGACTTGCTCCAGCATATCTACTCTCGTGCCTTGCAGCATGATTCTTAATATAAAGTACTGGCACAAAAGAAGCTCCATACAGAACTCCAGCTATAATCGCCAAAACACAGCCTCTAAAGAAAAAATAAAATCGGTGAGTTGTAATAACAAGGGTGTGGAAGATTATAAATGTCCTCATTTCAAATCATTAAAAAATCCTACTCAATATTAAACAAAAGAAAAAAGAACACAATAGCTCAATATTAAAGATTCTTGTAACAATATTTGCTGCTATCCATTGTGACCCTCCTGTGTCATACCAAGCAATCTTTGAATAGGCAGATCTCAATAAAATAAAACACATACACAGCTGTAAGGTACAAAACCAGTTTTATTTGCAGAGCACAGAAACCACAAAAGTCACCATGAACAAAACAAAAGGCTAACTCCTCAAGACTAACTCCTAACTAGACTTCTTCAGTCCTTCTGTATTTCACATACTGTCCATATATTGCTACCTCTCTTCTTGTTCTTTCTTTTCAATTATCACCTGACAAATAGTTTTCATCCAATTGGTCAAGTGACTGAGGGCAGCAGAGAATTCCCATACCTTCCAGGGAATATCATCCAGACATGAACTGGCAACTTGTCTCATCCTGTTGACCCATAACGCATGCCCTCATGAGGGAGGCACTCCACAGGCCGAAGACTGTATATTCAATGGCCACCTCTCCTCCCAGTTGGTAGAGGATGTTAGGTAGGACAAGATGGCAGATCTATTCCCAACTGTGTTACCCACCAATTGTATTTCCTATCCACCAGCTGTATTTTCCTAGAGCAGTCAGACAGCCTCTTGCATTTGTAACTTGGAATCAACAAGCAGCCTCTCCACCTCTTCTTCCATCACAATCAGAGAATAGACTTGAGGTCTTCTTTCTCTATTCCCGATTTGAAACGATCTGACTTTTCTTCCTCAATTACCAGCCCAATTTCAGGCTCTTGGCAAGGCAGTGGCAGCTATTTATCTCTTTCTAATTTTAACAGGGTGGCAATACACTTTCCTCTAGTGGCTCCATCACCAAGCTCTCTAGCTGCTCCCCTCCATTATTCTCTGAGTATTCCTCTACTGTTCTGAGGTCTTCCTCCTCAAACCCAGGCCAAAGTGGCAAAGGTATCTAATATTTTTTTCTCCCATTCTGGTGAGGCACATAGTCATCTGGCTCTGGTGTTAGGAACTATTCTCTTCCCACTTCCAGGGTCTCTTGGAGTATAGTTCATCAGTCCTTACTTCCCTTTGGGATATACAATTTAGCTGTACCACTCTTTCAGACAAATATATTTTGGATCTCCAATCCATCTCCATACTCATACTCATACTCCGCATGTAAAGTGCTCCAAGACTCCTTTGCCTCTTTTAGCCAGTCCGAGGATCTCTTCTTTTCCCTGCTTAAATTCCTGCAACCAGGTTTTTTGCCAGATTAGAATTCTGGGATCATGCATCCCCTTCTAGACCAAATTTAATTTTTTCTTCTCCAAAAAAGTCCCATCACTTTCACCAAATGGTCAGATCCCCAGACTACAACCCCCACCATATGTAATATACTGTACTTAGGGGCTGAGGTACCTTAGCAAACAATCTTTAAAAAACTGCGAGTCAGAAAACGCAGCCATCAGGTACAATACCAGTGTTTTATACAGTACTTACAGTGCAGAGGAACTACACCAAAATCCTCCTCTACACTCTATCTGGAAGCCTCAGCTTTCTGGTTTTTAAATCATCACCTGATCAACAATTATTTTTCCAACTAGTCAAGTGACTGAGGGTGGCAGAACATTCCCCACAACTTCCTGGGGAATGTAGTCAAACAAGAACAGTAATCTTGTCTAAACCTGCCAAACACAGAAGCTCATGTCTCTCCAATAACAGAGCACGTGAGTCTGCTTAAAAATGTCAATTTAACTCTGCCTTTTTATATAAATGAATCATCAGATATAAGGCTGATTAATACACAGTAATATCAAATCAGTTAAACAATGAGAGTATTGACAAGGGCAGGTTGAGTTGCATATATTCAATTAGCTGGAAGAAAATAACTAATTAAAAAATATCATTCACAACTGTACTGTGAGCAGTAGCAAATATAATTAATCCTTCAGTTCACATAAAATTAAAAACTTTAAGTGATGAATGAAAAGTTATTAAATTAAGAAATCTGTAAGAATTCACTTTAATGTGAAATTTCTCAGGTCAAATGCAGTTAACAACGAGGTCTATATAACACTAATTTTTTAGTACCACAAGGCAAGAACTGAAGACTTCTGTTCTAAACTATGCAATATGCATAGTCACAAGCAAAAAATTACTAGATTTCAAAATCCAAAATTAAATAAACACATACATGAACCGTTTCTTCTTTGGACTAAGTCTGTCTACCCATGATTCATCAATAGAACTCAGTCCTTCACTATTAATTCTCTGTTGAAAAACAAATCATATCAATTAATTAAAAACAACAGAAGAACCATAATAAGGACAATATATACAGTTAATAGCATCAAGTTAAAAAACAAAGGTTGGGCAAAACATTTTCCAGAAACCGTTTAATGTCACATGTAACACTAGCTCTAACATGTCAGGTTTTATCCTCATCCTGTACTTATTTTTTGCACCATCCATAAATTTGTTTTCTGTTGACATGAAGAAGACTAATCCGTCAGACACATGTGAAAAATACTGCAAGGCCTAGGATGCAGGTAACTATGAAGATAGCTGGTATTTCTAATAAAAAAAGAATATTGTTGGAGTAATGCACCCCTTTCTAGATCCATTTACATTTTATATTACACTATAAAAACATGCCATCTTCCATTCACTTTGTCTCCATCACATAAAAATGAATGCACACATACAAATTCCCCTATATTGAAAATATTCTCTTTTGATTTGGCATGATTGCCAGTGCTCATCTGTTGGGTGAAGTTCTTACAGTACATACACATTCCAGATTATTTCATGTGCACGGGTTAAAAGATTTTTGATCATCAGTTTTGGTGAATAATTGAAATCGCGACTCAGAAAAATCCTTCCATTCGTGAAGGGTAATAACAAGCTACAGCACATCTAAAATTCCAGTGTTACAACAAGTATCAACAAAATTGTATACTTTAATTGTATAAGTTATCTGAAAGTCCTCTCATGAACCCTGGACAGTACAGGAACTATACAGTAAACAAATAAATTAGACATAACATACTGTATTATCATATACATCATTTATACTTACACTTTCTACTAGCAGTGGTGTTTCTTCTGAGGTCATGGATCTTTGAACATCACTTTTAACAAAGAAAAATGTTATGGCACTAAAAAAAAAATTCACATAATTAGACATTGATTTTATGAAAATATCTTACTTTATGCTTATATAGAAACATTAGCATCTTTGACTTAAACACACCAATGACTGGTCAGCCAGTGTGCATCACTTACTACAATACAGTATATTCTGGTAATTTGTCCATTTCTTTAATTTTGTGCTTTTTTAACAAGTGAACTCCTTAAACTATTTGTCCTCATGGGAATCAGTTCATACTCTCAAAGGCCTAAGTAATTTAGTACCTAGTTTTTAAACTTACAATGCAGTTGAGAAATATTCTTCTTTAAAGACTCTTTAACCTGAGAGCCTTGATGATGTGCTGAAGATTTCATAAAACAATTAAAATCTATTTAAAAACTTAACCATTCAAACACAACATACATATACAGTATCTTCTTCCAGGCCTAACATGAGTTGGATTTAAAAAACATTATACAGGGTATAAGGTTGTATATAAATTCTGAAAAAAAAACAAATAACTTTACCTTAAGAAACATAAACCTGCACCACAGTAATTCAAAACAGGGCTGTTAACCTCTTCAGGGTCTATTCCAAACCAACCGAACCTCAAAGAAACAACAAATCCTCCATATACCGTAAGTACAACAACACAAAGTATAAAGTTTTTTGACTATGCAAGCTGTTACCTATTCATTAAAACACAATTTTTGGTTTTAATTTTTACTGTCCAAAATTCTTATATTTTCCTTTGTAGTCTAAGATAAATTAATAATAGGCAAAATAGTTATAATAAAAGACTCCAAAGGGGGCTTCGAGCAATTTTGTGATGTTTGTAATATAGTATATACTTTAACTCCTGGTTGTGCCTAAGATGTTTAAGTCACAGCAAGCATTTATTTCAAACTAAAAATGTGTTGCGTTTTAAAATAGACTGTTGATATTAAACTTACCGGGAACTTGCCCATCCCATTAGTAAATTGAAGGAACCCCAAATTAAAATCCCAAGCCCTAGGCCAATCGTTTTAAGTATAGGTACAACCGTAATGTTACCTGGAAAAAGAAGATACATTTTGCACAAACCACATTATACAGTTATATGAAAACATTTTTAAACGTATAACATTTTTACCCTTGTCAATATTTTTCCTGTTTTGTTCAGAAACAATTCTATGGTGATTTTCTGCTGAAAATATAGCCATAATTTTATATTAAGAGATAATCTAATCTTTTCTCTAGTATTATACATAAAGTAGATTTTTACTCTAGGTTTTTGTATGTGAAGAAAGGAACAAATTATGCTACTGATGAGGGACTTATGACAATGAGCGAATTCAATTTAATAGGTAAATGTGATGGATTTCTTATATCACTTGGTGTTGCCTGCTCATGTATATTTTACATTGAGCTGTTGTGATCAAATCTGTGGTTAATATTAAAGAATTCTAAATGTGTCAAGCTTGGTCTCTTTGAGACTGTTTTAATAAAGTAGTTAGAATATTAAAAAACACTAGTGCAAGCTATAAGTAAAATAATGATAATCATAACATTCAATATTAAACTGATTGTCTAACATATCTAAAAAAACAGCACAGCATGTCATTTAGTTGTTGTTGTTGTTGTTGTTGTTGTTGCAAATTGTACTATAAATTGCAAGTGAAATGAAATGCAAATAATTGGCATTTGTGTTATTGTCTAGCAATGTACATTACATTACAGCTACCAGCATTATATATATATAATACAATTTCTTATAGAATCTGGCACTGGGTAAACCTAAATAAGCCAATCTTGAACACTACATATTATGATTAAACAATTATCATATTTCTAAGAGAAAAGGAATAGAAGTCATACCCGTTGCCCATATGAAACCACCTAACATTGCAAGTGGCCAGAATTTGGGGGATTGGAGGATTATGTTCACTACTAAAGAAACACTCCATATAGCAGCACAGAGAATCCATTGAAAAAACATCCCTGCAACAAATAAATAATAATACCATTAAAATAATTCTTATGATTTGACTATTGCTGTAAGAGTAACTAAAACATCACTAAAACACACTTATATTCTGAACATGTTGTACTCTTTCACAAAACTTTGAACTAAATCACGTCATTTAAACAATCAGCTTTGTACCATCTTAATGATATTAATTTTTAGTTGTTTTTTACTTATTTCCCCTTATTATGAAATACTAAGGAACCATAAACTCTTCTAAAAAAGTGTGTACAATGCACATTAAGCCTTAATATCCTTACCATCACCAGTGTCAAATTTTTTCACAGGGACAAAATTGCTTCCAAAAAAGAGAACAGACACTGCACATGAGATAAACCCATATGCTAGCTGGGTACTATCTGTTGCGTTGTTTTTGCCCAGCAGCCGGGTATTGAGTGACTCATTCTCCAGCACAGGTTGGTTTTTCACAATAACATCTGCATAAACGAAAGTAACAAGAAATCTGCTAGCAAATAAAAATAAAAAAAAAACACTTTCCAGCCTTGCAAAGCATGAAATGCATTAGTTGTTGTCAAGTACCTGTATCAGCCCTCTTCACAAAGTTACAGTGAAATACTTAAGATTACTCTGTTAATTGAAAATTAATCCCAAAATAGAGCATAGAAACCGAAAACACATTGTTTCCCATTTCAACAGTACCTTCTTATTTTTTTCAAGCGATTTAACTTTACATAATTAAGGAATATATACAGTATATATATATACAGTATGCTGTCTGCATTTGACCATAACTTTACAATACCTCACCTTGCTTCTCCGGTTCTGTATCACCATGACACCACGACAAAAGCAATAACATAACTACTAAAGTTATACTTTGAATCTTCATCAGATACATTTTTTTCTTTTACCACTCTAACAAATAAGCTACGGAAGAGTCACGTTAATGAATAATAAATGTTCCCTTAGTTTTTATCTTACTAATCCAGAGCTGCATTTTGAGCTGCGCTTTTTTTTCAAATCAGGATTTCCTTATATATCATCTGACCGAACTCGAATCATGTGACTAATGTCAAACGAGGAAGTCGCAGAAGCGGTTGAGTTCAGTGCTGAAAAAGTAATACTTGTAATAAGTTATAAAGTAAAAAAGTTTCAGTATACATGAGAAGGTAAAATGCTGACCAAGGACTATTTAAGACAAATAATCATTTAAGACAAATGGAAGTAAAGTGAAATTATGCGAAACTGTCAACATAATATAAAATACAATAATAATAATAATAATGTTTCGTAATTAATTGAGAAGCCACTTTTAAATTCGCTATATAAAAAAATATTTTAAAAAAAATAATAATGAAATATAAAAAAGTCCTGACTCCCATAACATGCAAAAGGGTTTGGGGGACAAACAAGACCAGAATCAGACAAACTATTATTTTTATTCCGAACATACAACATTAAAAGAGTTTGTGGTACTGTAACCAAAACAGTAAAATGGTGGTTGAAACATACAGTGCAAATGTACAGTATATACCTCATTGCAAGTTTCCACATTTTGTCACTGATCTTAAAATCACGACACTTTCAAATCTGACTTTGTACTGTATTTATATATCTATACAATCTCAAATTTGGAAAAAAAAGTATGTAAAAACATTTTTTTTTAAATAACAGTATTTCTTGCATGCATTAAACATTCAAACCCTTTAGTATGGCACTATTCAGCTGCCAAAAAGAAAATATTTAAATCAGTTTAGGTGCAAAACCAAAATAAAGGTGCGAATGAATATTAGCATAATGTTTTCCATCTGTGTGTAATCAAAGTGATATAACTTAACTTCAGAGTATATGTGATTGTTTTACCACGCTGATACATAGCCCTGATACATAGAATGCGGCTCTGAATCCAACCAAGACTATAAAAGATTTACAAAGTTTAATGACTGAGATGGAAGTCAATGTTCAAAAGTGAATGATATCCTCATAATCTGCCAATAACTCATAACCTGTATGAGTTAGTGGCAAGATGGGAGCCTTGATGGAAAAAGACCCATCTTAAAAATGTTATGAGATATACTTTATGCAGCAGAAGGTCAAACAAGATAAAAATTAAATTTTTTGGTTGACATGCAAAGTGTTACATCCGAGACAAGCCCAACACAACATATCACTCAGTCAGAACCATCTCAAATGTTAAACCTGGTGGTGGTAATATCATGCTTTTGGGAAGCTTCTGTTTAGAAGGGATTGGGAGTTTTATCAGGATTGTGGGAAAATGGATGGTAAAAAGAATTAACAAATCAAAAAACCTGGTTAAATTAAACCAAGGATATAAAACTGGGTTAAAAATTCATATCTCTGTCAGCGCTCTCATGTTAATTACACTCCAGCCCTGAGCACTTCTTCCAACCGATACCATTCCTGTTGAAGGAACAAAATATGTACAAGACGTGTGGTCTAACGTTGGCTTTGTGCCCAGAACATAAAGCGGAACCTGTTTCTGTCAATAATCCAAGAGACATGATCTAAGATATAAGATGCTTATTCTCCATGTTTATTATAAACTTATCGCTCAGACATTTATACAGGGAAATTATGCTTATTTGTACATTAGAGCAGTTTGTCATGTATCACTAGGTAAACTCATTGAGACACAGTTACAGTACATGGGGGGTGCGCCAAACAGTTTGCTTCACTAATTTTTGCATGAACTTTATGTGATGTATATCCATATAAAGACATACTGTACTTCTGCATTACTATTAGGAGGAGTGTCACTTAAGCTTGTTTGTTTCATGGTATAAAAGACCATCTTTAGTTACTTATTTTCGAGTCTGGCTTGCAAGAGAGCTAGGCTCCCATATGCATACGTAATAAAGAGCTTCTTGTACACAGACACCTGGACTCTCTCATTTGTACAGTATGACACAACATTGTCAATCAACCAACCACGACACTCCACCTGTCAGCGCACCTTCCTCCTCTCATATTATTTAAGCCCTCTAAACCCTCTGATCTTTGCCCGGTATTGGTCACCCCTTCGGAGCTCCTACCTCGCCATCATTTCAAAGTCTTCTAAGCCCTTCTGGATAAGAATTACAGAACAGCCCCCTCTTGGATCGGAAGCTAGTGGGTCTTTTACAGAACTCGCCCTTGACCACGTCTCTCGCCTAGCGCTCTCTTGGATTGGAAGCTACAGGATTTTTTCCCTTCATTCCTTAACCACTGAGGAACTGCATAGGGTTCATCCATTTGTGACAATCTCAGCAGGACAGTGACCTTAAGTACAAATCTAAAATTACTCTGAAGTGGTTTAAAAAGAAGAAAATCCTGATTTGAAGCTAATTGCAAATTTATGAGGAACTGCTACTTTCAAATTATATAACATAATAACTCTAGTATCTAAAATTGCAAGATTTAAATGTAAAATGAAAAGCTGAATATCCAGTACAATTGATGGAGAACTTTATGTTAACTAAACTGATTTCTGTTTGTGATATAGTGCTTATGTTAATGATTTTTTCTGCATGCCTTATGTGGATAGATGTTTTCACAGCAGAAAAAATAGAAAGTATAAAAGTATTCTTCTAAGTGCATTTGTTTTCCACAAGTAATATTATAATAAAAAGCTTTGTTTTCACACCTGAATTAAACCTTCCATATACTGTAAGCTGATGCCTTGTGAAACTGCAGTACTACAGAACTCAAAGGAACAAGTAATAGGTTTATTCCATGCTGAAAAGAGAAGAAAGAAAACTTGTTTCGGCCGTGGAGCCTTCTCACACCTGAAGATGGCCCCACGGGCGAAACGTTGTGTTTTCTTTCTTCTCTTTGTAGCATGGAATAAACCTATTACTTGTTCCTTTGCAACCTATGCATTCTGACGCAGCTACCCACCTGAAGTACTACAGAACTCTACAAAAAATAATTTAAATTATTATAATAATTTAATTATGATTATAATTAAGTATAATAACTTGCATCTTATTTGGCCACAAATGTGGCCAATTGGATAGTGCTAGCCTCAAATTGTTTAAAAGCCTTCATTGGAGTGGGTGGGGTGACTGTTATGCTGTTGGATGAGAAGCTGGTTTCTGAATCAGTTATTTGACAGAGAATTTACAGTAGTATCTTTGTTTGCTTGATGTAACTGTCATACCCTCCACATCTAGAGGGTGCTCCTGGTCTGTCCTGTTCCTAGTTTCCCTGTGCTTTACTTGTTCTTCCGGTGTGTCTTGTTGTCTGGGGCTTTATATTTCCGGGTCTCCTTATCCTCCTTGTTTGGCATTGGGATCGGTTGTCGAGAGGCTCGCCTCACCAAGTCACCCGACTCCACCCGATACCTGCCGCTACGCATAGAGTCCTTCCATCTCGCTGGTCTCTCTCCACGGCTAGCCCGTCTTCTGTGACAGAATGCTGAGCCTGCACGAGCGGTCTCCTGGCCACCCTGGCTGCTGTTCCTTGTCTCCCTTTTCTTCTTTCCTGGCTTTTGTTTTTCTGGCCACCCTGTCTTCTGGTCCTAGTCTCTCTTGTCCTTTTTCCTGGCTTCTGGTTTCCCGGCCACCCTGGCTTTTGGTTTCTGGTCTCTCTGGTTTCTGGTTCCCTGGCCTACCTGGCTTCTGGTTTCTTGTCTCCCTGGCTTTGTTCTTGTTGTTAACTTTTGTCTGTTATTTTTTTTATTTTACGTGATTTGTGTGCCCGGGCTCCCCCGCCACTGTCTCCCTGTCCTGGGCTCCCACTCCCGCTGACTCCATGTCCAGGGCTTCCACAACCACTGGTCTCTCTTGTCTGGGCTTCCATGCCCCCTGGTCTCCCTATGTTTTGTGAGTCATTTTTTATGTGTTGTTTGTTCCCCTGTTCCGTCAGGGCTTATTATTTGTTGTGTGTGCTTTGTAACATGTTTCATCTGTTTTTTTTCCGTCTCGCACCCCTGGAGCCCTACCCAGCCCCCCCTTCCTCTACTCAATAAAGATTTTAACCCCGGAGGAGGGGGTAGCTCTCAGTCGTTGACTCCCGGAGGTTTCCTTTCAGTTAAATGAGGTTTTTCCTCCCCCCAGTGCTGTGCAGCTCATTCTATTGGGGGTCATCGGGAACCGCCCTCGAAGGGGGGGTACTGTCATGCCTTCCACATCTAGAGGGCGCTCCTGCTCTGTCCTGTTCCTAGTTTCCCTGTGCTTTACTTGTTCTTCCAGTGTGTCTTGTTGTCTGGGGTTTTATATTTCTGGGTCTCCCTATCCTCCTTGCTTGGCATTGGGATCGGTTGTCAAGAGGCTTGCCTCACCAGGTCGCCCCACGTCTGCTACCTGAGGGCGGCCTATGTCTCGCTCCAATTGGACCCGATACCTTGAGCCCGGACCGAACCTCCGTGCTTGCTCCATTCCTGCTGCTATGCATAGGATCCATCTGTCTCGCCGGTCTCTCCCCACAGCTAGCCCTCGGCTTTTGTGACAGTAACAAACTTGGTGGTCTTGTAATTTAACTTGGGAAGCTTACACAACAGGAGATCAGAACAATAAGGATTCCAAAAAGGCAACAAATCATCATTAGTGCCTTTTCCTTTCAGATTCCTTGCTACTTTGCTTTAATTTTTTTGTTTGCTTTAAATTAATGGCAAATAAATGGCACATACAGCACTGTTCATGCCCTGTCTGTCTGAACCCTAGAGAGCTGCAGTATACTGACAGTCTAATTTTTTCCTTCCTTTCCGTCTCTACCATCTCTTGTTTTCAGTCTTATACAAGAAAAGGCTTGAATTCTATATCAGGTCATTTCCTGTGTCTGTCCTGGATCGTTTCACAAGCTAAACAATCCGGCAGGATAATATACTGATGGATTTTCCAACTAGGCAAGGAAATCCTGTATGGATATGGAAGTTACAGTATTTAATCACTACTCAATCTATTCTGAAGAACCATTGGATCTGGATTCCTGTTTCTTCTTTTTTTCTTGTTGTTTGTGTTTTCTAGACTAGGGTTTCTAGCTCATTTGAGAATTAAAATGTTTCCTAGAATTATTTTTATTTTAATTTAAGCTTTTGGTTTAAATTAACCTTACCTCATAATATAGTTAATACTCAAAGTAAATGGGTCTCTGTTGGAGATATCTCTTGCAGAGACCCGAACAAACTGTTTTTTTCTGGCTGTGTAAACTGTGCAAAAACATGCCATAAATACCAATAAGAATTCTATCTATAAACAGCTGTGGTGGGAATATAGATTTTATTAAGCATAATAATCTATCACAGATAAAAGATATATTAAGAATGTGTGTATTGCAGACTATCTAGTGTTGGAAATGATAAACTTGCATACCATACCGTAGGCCTGGAATGTCTTTCGGTGCTCTGGACTGTTTGCTGAGCAGTAATATCTTTTTTTGTATTGTAGTGACCAACATTTTCTGCAATATGGTGTCAGGATAACAGCATAATAGCCTTATCTCATTAGACCCATGAAGCTCAGTATGGGTGGGCCTGGTTAGAAATGGGCTGTGGAGGAATATGAGTTGCTAGTACTATTGACATGGACCAGAAGATTTCACACTTCCCTGTTGACTGCAATTCCCAAATCAATCACAACTAGCCCTTGGTTATTTAAATTACCACGGCATTTTCAAGATTATTTAGATCTTTGTATTTTTTTACCGCAAAAGTAGCAGTTTTCAATTTAAATATGAGTATTTGCTGGTAATTACATGTATAATTATGAAATAACTATTTTACTTGGACAAACTACTACTTAGAGAAACTCAAAGTTCATACATGCTTAGTTAAAACTGAGTTTTGGTTAAATATTATTATTATTATTATTATTATTATTATTATTATTATTATTTTTATTATTATTATTAACCTATACTCAATCGGAGCAAAAACAGGTACTGTTTTTACGAGGACCCGGACTGTGACGTATTTATTTTTCATTGCTTATTTGAATTGAGCACCTTAGACAAGGAGCTCATAAAACAAAAAATAGACAAGGAGCTCACGCCATTGTTAAATGTTAACACTAGAGGTCGCAGAAATGAGAAATGTAAATTAAGCCAGAGAAAGTTATATTTAAAGGTAAAATAATAATGTAAAAATTACTTCATGTTTAACATAAGATAGCATTAATATATTCATATATTATTTGTCTTCTTCTGTTGCTTATTCTACCATTCTACACGTTTAGGAATACTTAAACAAGGGTGTATTGACTCTTAATATTAAGATATTTGAGACTACCTAAAACGCACCCTAAACTTAACTTTTCTTATTTAAAACTTAAGATTCCTTTTCGCATTAACAAGACTTTACCAGTGCTACATTCCATTGAAAAAAAAATGAAGACATTTACGTATCACGTTTTGTTGTAATTTAAGCTTTTAAATCTCTAAGAATCTCTAACTCCAATAAGTTAACACGTTCCATACATCGAAGGAAAACTATCTTCTAAAGTAAAAACATTTTACTGCGTAGACATCCTATTTACACAAATAGTGATGTTTATCGTTGTCTTTAACTTTAATGCATATTACAGTTAATATCTGGTAATAACGTTTTTTTTATTTTATTCCGCATATTTTCAAATCGTTATCTTGGCGGTGATAAAAGTTTTCACAGCTGTCTCAATTCATTCCAGGTCACCAGCAAAACTGGGTTCCATGTATAGCAGGCATTTAAAAACTCACGACTGGATACTTCGGTGCCAGGAGTGGCCATACTATAAGCTCATACGCTGATCTTTTAACAAATCACACCCATGATGCACGCTAGAAATGAGATTCTTAGGTTTTGCACCACCCTCAGCAGAGTATAAAGAAATTGTGCTCAGTCCATCATGTTGGATGATAATGGGGACTTTCCTCATTTGTTTAGGCGAAGTAAAAAACTTCATTGTTCAGTGGTCCAGTTGCTGTTTTCGGAAAGTATTGAAGATTATCAGTAGATATTCAAAATCCAAAAGGAATTTTCTTATTGCTAGTACATGTTTCATGTACGTGTTTTTTCTTGTTTCTCGAGTAGGACGAAACTTGCCTGAGCTATCTGATAAGCAGCACAGAAGAAGCAGAGGAAACTATATACAAAAATCCGGTATGTCCCGGGCCGCCTCCACCCGTGTGCGCATTGAAGACATATCAGAAGATAATACAGCTTCTCGGAAACCTAATGTGGTTTACATAACACTTAAATCGAAGCGTGGAAAACCAGCAGTTATTAGAAGTACTATAAGACCAAAAACCAGGAGAAAGTACTCAATTACAAATAGCCATGCACTCATTGATGGATTAAATTATATTAGAAGTATTATCCAAAGTGAAGGAACTCGCCTGTCAAATAACACGAGAACTGGACATGAAAAACAAAGACAATCTTATCCCCACGTATTCAAGGATACAATTCCACATGAAGGCCAAAGACAACCGATAGATGCTCGTTATGGTTCTTTAAGGATATACAGCGAAAGTGCCCCACCATGGTTTAGTAAAGAAGACATTGACGCTCTCCGCTTCTTAGCAGATAGCTATGTATCGAAAATTAAAGACATATCGTCAGGCAGCCAACAGCGCTTACTGTTGTTTGAAACGTCGACAGATACTCCCGGTAAATTCTCAGGTGAAGATAAGAATAATACTTCAAAATGCCAAGGACGCTGCGGCTTGATCAAGAGACCAGTGGACATGAGTGAAGTGTTTGCTTTTCATTTGGATAGGATTCTGGGGTTCAATAGAAGTTTGCCGGCTGTATGCAGGAGGTTTAGGTTGTTTCAAGGTAAGATGCTGAAGCCAAATACTGTATGTTGCATGAGCTTCTGGCTATTGAATGCTTTTCTAAATTGAATTGCAACGATTTGGGGCAGAACGCATATTGTGAAAACCTTTATCTTACCGGTTCCTATCAGTAAGAAAAGAAATGAACAATGTAGGCTTTTATTCTTGTCAGTACCACATGCCAATAACTGAATTAACGACTGTTAACAAGTCATTACTCATTATTCTTTTCAACTTTGTGGTGTGTGTTGTTAACGTTTATGACCCCTCCCGTAGTTGATGATAATAATAATACAATTTGATTTCTGAATGCTTTTCAACAAATACAAAGTTTGAGGTTTTGTTTCAATAAAATATGTTTTATACTGTTATAAACTGATATTTTATATCGTTTTATGATATTTTAAAATATGAAGTAGCATTTAATTCTTTCACATTATAAATGTATATATTAATATATAAAGTAAGAACAGATCTAAAACATTTCAACGATTGGTAATTGACTTGAATTTTACCTGTCATCTCCAGTACTGCAGAATAGTTAAAACCTTGTACAAACATGTACTGTATGTTATGAAGAATTACCTACTGCACAAAAGCAGTATGTCAGTTGGAAATATTTTTTTTAATAATGTTTTCTAGATTTCACTTATTCTCAGGAATCCAGTCTAGCTTAGCATAGATGGTGTTCTAGCACATGAAAAGTAATAAAACATTTTTTTTTTGCAATAAATACATTGATTTTTGTATGAGACATACTGTATACTGTACTAAGGACCATAAGAAACATATTACTTCAAATATGTCACAAACCTATCTGGAAAATGTCTATATCTTTTTTTGCAACAGGTGACTGACATTTTATTCAACATGATGTAGGTAAATTCATTCTGGGATTCATTAGTTCTGATTAAAAGAGGTTGTGCCTTGAAAATAATAGGCTACTGTAGAACTGGGTATGGCCACCTTTGGAGAGAATTAAAGCTGTACAGTACATTTGTGATGCTTGCTTTATACTAGTTTGCTGATACTGTACTGCCTTGTAGGACCTTTTTTCTATTCCTCTTGTAGGGGCTGGAAAAGCATGTGTTTGTTGGTTTTTGAGCCCTTCATGCCACATCCATGGCATAACAGTCACATTCTCATCTCACAAGAATGCTGTTGTTACATTAATAGCATGAGGACATGCTTTGTCCAGTTGGAATGCTATCATGTCAGGATCATGATGTCACAGGAAAGGCAGCAAGCTGAGAACCAGGACTTAATCAATGTAGCACTCTGCAGTCAGGATGCCATCAATCACTACGATTGAATTTTTTAGAAACCAGCTATTCCTCTCCAGGCTATTGCACTTTGATATCCAGATTAACTGGTCTGTTGTTCAGAAAAGAAATACTTATATTTAATTATACCAATTGTATTTAATTTACTTTTAAAACAATATCATTTTGCATGTCTGGGCCACTCTCAGTGACTTCTGTCTGGCTGTTTTCCAGCAGGTGCTTTTCTCTCACAAATGATTAATCTCCACAAATGACATCGATTTTTTTATGCTAGGTACAGTATATTTTGTGTGTCAGGTTGGAGTGCTTTTATAGAGAGATATACTGATACATCAAGATTTCTATTTCTTATTACTCGTCTTTGTGTTCAAATAATTCTGCAGTTTGTTAACATGGAAAAAGGAATGCTTAACAACCAATGCTGTTATATTATAGACAGTCAACCCTACCCAGTGGTACTGTGGGACTCCACACTCTCTCCTGCAGACAATGAGATTCAGTCCACAGTGAGACTAACCTGGGGATCTTACCAACACTCACTTAAACAGAAATGTTGGCAACGTGGGATCGTACCCAAGGCAGAGTGGAGGTGCTCCAGTATCCATCATTATGAATGGAGCAAGCTGGCTCTCTTTGATTTCTTGCTGCAGGTGCATTAACATTAAATGTGTACTGTGTAGAGATTTTATGCTCACATTATATCTCTGTGTATTCTGTAATTGATTTATTATTCAACTCACATGTCATAAAACGTATGAAACAAAGTGGTCATTCACAGTTGGTTTTGGAGAAGTCAGAGTAATGTGACCTTTTCACTTGTGTTAATATGAGAATTAAAATGCATGTCAGATGATTCTGAGATAATGCCTTATTTAACAATTTTATATAAAAGGCTATGTATTTCTAGAATACTTTCTTCAGCTGCTGTTAAACAATGACAGCTTTTCAATGGATTTTTAGTTCTATTAATGATCCCTTTCTTTATGAACATATTGATATTTGGGCATATTTTTGTCTCTCTATAGCTAAGAGTACAAGCTTCATTTTTTATCTTATTTGCTGTATCATATTTTGAGAAGGGCTAAGAGTGAATGAGAGCAATTTTATTGAAGTTTAATTATAATGGAATGAGGATAACATAGGAAAATCATTCTGCCATTTTAGCAAACTAACAAATTAGAAGGAAAAAGGAAAACTAACAAAAAAAGGAACTACAATGCAAAGTAATTTTGAAAACAAAAAAAAATGTATTTTAAAGTGGTGGCAAAAATTGAATTGGTTCAACCGAACTGTAGCATCTTTAGGTAAAGGCAATTTTGTGCTGCTCCAAAAATGTTAACTCTTTCAAAAGTTTGAGCTTTTGGATATCTTTTTTATATAACTTCTACTGTAGGTATACAATCGACTTGACAGGAATTGTTGTGGATTCAAACCCCGCAAGGAAGATACTTGTTTTCAAAATGGACTGTACCTGGAGTGTGCTGATCAAGATAACAACGATCTGATGCATATCATTCACAGAAGAAATGACCCAAGGCATTTGGTTTTTGTTGATAACAAAGGATATTTTGACAGAGATGAAGGCAATCTGAATTTTAAACTCCTAGAAGGAATAAAGGAGTGAGTATGGATTTAAATGTTCAAATACTTTAAATGTACAGTATGGGCAATCTCCACAAATAAACAACATCTAAACAGTGGTAGGTGCTTGTGAGAAACACACAGAACCAATTATTATTATTGTTATATTTTAATAGGACTCACTATGCGTTAGTAGTTGCAGTAGTTATTATTTTTTATAGAACATATTACAACACTGATTGAAGCTGCTGTGTGCTGGTTGAATTATTGTACTTCATATAAAACTGAAGGATTACTTCCCAAGGATATCAGAGAGTCACCTTCTCTAAACTCCTTCAAATCCAGACTCAAAACCTTCTTCTTCAGAAAAGCCTTTACCGAACTGGTTCCATTCTTCACCCCTCTGCTCTTCTTAGTACCACCTTCCACGGTCTCCTCTATTGTTACTGTTGTATTGTTGTAATTGTAA